CTATAGTTAAGAAGGGTGACCTGATGGTAAAAGAGTAAAAAGAGGTTAATGGGGGTGGCCACTAAGGGTCTTACTTGGTCGTCAACTTTAGGGCCCTGGGGCAGGGGCGAACCCACATGGGGTCACGTGGGGTCAAGTGACTTCACTTGGGTTTTATTTTTTGAATTTTGCCCCATAACAAAACAAAATTACAGTAAACTAAATTAATTAAAAATTTTAACTTTCTCTAATAATATCTTTCCCCTTTTTTCTCTAATCCCAGTTTTTTCTCTTGCCCAGGGTGCCCCACTCTATCTCCCCAATCCCTATTTTTCTCTTCCCTAGCTGCAGCGTGCCCCACCACTCAATTGAAGAATCTCCACTATTTTCAGAATCTCTTTTAATAGAATATTTATTGATTTCCTTTTTTTACTTGATTCAATTATTAAGTTTTGTTTTAATTAATTTCATTTAAGTTCTCCAGAATGTCCTTCATAGTTTTATGCTCATGGGTAAATAGCTAATTTTGATTGGCTTTCACTATGTTTCTTCAAGCACATGTAGAATTTTTTTTTCTGCATAAATGGTGAGGTTGTTGGCATGTTGTTGTAGTTTTGTGCTTGGCTGGCTGTTACTTTTTATCTTCTAAGTGTATTTTAATTTATTGAACTGCCAAACAAGAGCAATAAATGGGTTGTTGACTTGTTGTTCTTGTATCAAGAAGACAAGAACTCTCAATAAAGAAAAGAAAAAATAATCTTACTAGAAAAAAAATAATGAGGCGAAAAAAAAAAAAAAGATTAAAGCTTTTAGAATTAAATTTCTTTTGTTGTTTTGATTTATAACATTAGAATGAATTTATGTCATTCAAACTATATGTAACTTCAAATCATGAATATGAGATTAAACAATGATATACAATTGAAATTAAGGGGCTAATTAGGTGAATTTACTTATAGTTTACCAACAGGTTTAATGGCTTGTAGATCAAGCATTTTTGTGAAATACTATAGATTTTGAGCTCTTGTTTAGTTTCTTACTGCAATTTAAGTTCATTTATTTAACTTTCATGTTTTAAATTATTATAAATGTTAGTTTTTTATATTGAGGATATAATTATTTGTTGCATTTTTTTTTTATCAAGTAATAATATATAGTTGTTTTAAAATAGTATGGAGAGATATTTCAAAAGGAAGTCAACAATGATCTCATCATCTCAACAAGAGGAAAATATTGATGATTCAAGAGAAAATTTGGAAGTTGATTTGCTAGATCTTCTTATGGATCCAGGTTTATGTCCCAAAATTTTAGATTATGATCCTAATGTTCAAGATCAAATCTGAAGAGTATATTTGAAAAGGGGTCCTTGTCAACCTAAAGGCCATGAGTTTTCTTTCAGAGATTTGGTGGAATTTTAAGAAGATTTGTTATTTCTTGGTCTGATGAATTTGATTAATGATTGACATATAGTATAGCAAAAGACACATGATTTTGTCTTTGTTGCTATCTTTGTAGGTTAGATGTTGGTGATAAAGCGGGTGGTGATCACTTTGTTGGTCAAGGGTTTTCAAATTGGAAAGAGAAATAAATATTGAATGTTATGCTATAAGTGCTGCTCATAATCAAGCTCGAAGAATGTATGAATTATTATTGAATCAAGACCAACACATTCAGACATTTTTTTTTATAGACACTCTTCTAAAGCACGAATTGAGTATCAAACTCGTTTAAATGCTATAGTTGACTATGTTCATTATCTTCTAAGGCAAGGACTCCCATTTTGTGGTCATAATGAATCCTATGATTCAAACAACCAAGGGAATTTTCTCAAGTTTCTACGATTTCTTGCTGATCATAATGAAGATGTCTATGTTGTTGCTTTCAAAAATGCTCTTGACAATCTCAAATTAACATCACCTAAGATTCAAAAAGACATTGTAAGTGCGACTGCAAGTGAAACTGTAAATGCTGTCATTAGAGATTTAAGAGATTCATTATTCTCTATATTGATTGATGAATCTCGTGATATCTCTACAAATGAACAAATGGCTATTGTCTTGCGTTATGTTAATAGGAATGGACTTGCTGTGGAGCGTTTTGTAGGTGTTGAACACATTACCAGTACTACAGCTCTCTCACTCAAGATGACACTTGACAACTTTTTTTCTAAGCATGGGTTGAGTTTTTCTAGATTGCGAGGACAAGGTTATAATGGAGCTAGTAATATGCAATGCGAATTTAATGGTTTGAAGACACTTATTTTGAAAGAGAATAGATGTGCTTCTTATATTCATTGTTTTGCCTATCAACTCTAGTTGGCTCTTGTGGCTTTAGCAAAGAATCAAGATGATGTTAACGATCTCTTTAATATTGTGGCGATTATAGTTAATATTGCTGGTGCTTCATCAGAACGTTGAGATATTCTTAGAGATAAGCAAGTTAGTAAAGTTATTGAAGCTCTTTCTAATGGTGAACTTTCAAGTGGAAATGGCCTCAATCAAGAGATAAATTTGAAACGTGTCAGTGATACACGTTGGAGCTCGCATTATGATACATTAATGAGCATAATCTTGTTGTTCTCATCCATTATTGATGTTTTGAAATTGTGGCAAAAGATGGGACAAACTCCGAGCAAAGATTTCAGGCAAGAAATATATTGAAATTGATGCAATCATTTAATTTTGTGTTTAGTCTATTTACGATGAAAGATTTACTTAGATTTACAAATGAACTTTCTCAAGCACTACAAAGAAAAGATTAAGATATTGTAAATGCTATGAATTTGGTTGAAGCGTGTAAGCAAGCTTTACAATTGATGAGGGATAGTGGATGGGAGAATTTACTTATTAAATTTTGTTTTTTTTTTGCCAAACATGACATTGATATTCCAAATATGGATGACAAATTTTTTATTCAAGGGCGATCACAATGGAAGACTTATAAGGGTATCACAAATGTGCATCATTACTGCATTGAAATATTTTATAGTGCCTTAGATATGTAGCTTCAAGAGTTGAATAGTCATTTTAATTAGGTAAACACTGAATTACTTATTTGTTTAGCATGCTTATGTCCAAATGGAAATTTTGTTGCTTTTGATAAGCAAAAATTGATGCACCTTGCTGAAATTTGTCCAAAAGATTTTTCTGACTTAGAACCCATGACACTTGATTTTCAATTTGATATTTACATTTTGGATGTACGCTCTAATGTCAAATTTATGGAATTGAATGGGATTGGAGATCTAGCAAGAGTGATGCTTGAAACTAAAAAAGATAAAGTGTTTCTATTAGTTTATTTGTTGATAAAATTAGCATTGATTTTACCGATTGCCACTACTAGTGTAGAGATATCATTTTCAATAATGAATTTTGTGAAGAGTCATTTGTGAAATAGAATGAGTGATCAATGGTTGAATGATAGTTTAGTTGTGTATATAGAGAAAGATGTATTTGATAGTACTGATAATAAAGTCATTATACAATATTTTCAAAAGATGAAATCTCGTCGATGACAATTATATATGTATTAGTTAATGAGAATGTTATTGATACTAATATTTGTGTTTATTTTTATTTTTATTTATGTTAATTGTTACTTTAACCCATCTAAGTTTCATTCATAGATCTGCCCCTGTCTTGGGGGATTAGTTGAAGTACATGCAAACTGATTTGGACAACCTCGATCACCAAAAACAAAATAAGTAAAACAAAAATAATATAAAAATGTTGTTACCTTTTTTATTACTTCTTTATAATAGAATATCAATTAACTGTAACATAACGAACATACATGATTATACATACAAATAGATGTTTACTTAAAATATGCTAAATTTTGGACTAAATTTTTTATTGCGATATTATTGAAAATCTAAGGCAGTAAATCACTCTGGTAAATCTTTTCGCATTATGTATACAATTATAAATAGAAAGGTAGCCTCATCTAGTATGAAATCATGAATTTAAGAGATTTTCTCAGAAAATGACCAATTAATAAAATGTTAGCTTGATGGGTAACCAAACCTTGTTGTGGGCAGTAGCGACCCGTGGCCTGTACCTGACATATTAACATTTCTGTGGTTTGATACTTTGGGCTGGATATAAGATTCAACCCATTTTCACTTGGCCCATTCGTTTTTTAATTCCTTTCCTATTTATGAACTTATTTTTCTTTGAAAAACTGCATTTTTTTTAATAAAATACTTTGAATAAATATATAAAGAATTATGACTTACTTATAAAGGGGCGTCAACAGTATGTAAGAATAAATTTGTTACATATTCTACAAAAATTGGTAATTATATTCTAATAGAACTCTTATTAATCTTTTTTGTAGCGTAAGTAGACATCATAGTTTTACCAACAAAACAACTAACTCATTTATGGTTAAAGACCCCGAATTTTGTAAAACATGGTAAGACGTGAACCATCAAGCTATTAACATACAATCTTCCAATTACAGTACTTCACTTTTTCTTTCCTGCTAATTACAAGTCATATATCAAGGAATGAAGTATTTAATACCATTAATAATTAATTATTAGAGTTTGGTTGACAGTCAAGAAAGCTTAATCCTCTTATTGATTTATTGAGTTTGAACCTTAAGACTACTTATCATATTTATAACTTACTTTGAAACATTGGGTTTGTAAGGTATTTAATGGGTCTCAAGAATTAGTCGACGTATACACAAACTGGTCCGAATTTAATAAACTCCATAGATTAGTCAAGGTGTACATAAACTAACCTAAACAATCCGATCATAAAATAAAATACTACTAAACTACTAAAATGTTTATATAAAAACATGGTTTGAGGGAAGTCATTTTAATAATTGATATATTAAGTAGTCGTTTTTTAAATCATCAAATCCCTCGAGGGTATCAAACAAATACTTTCATTATTGAATTGCTTGAATTTTTTTTTTTTAAACGTAAATTTGATTTAATTTGTCATTACAAATACCAGAAAATATTGACTTTTAAAAAATGGAATGAAATAGAAAAGAAGGCAACGAACTTGATGACTGTAAGGCAAATACAATTAAAGAGGGGCGATATTAACACAGTAAGGTAGCTCAAAGCCTCCAACTAACTCTTCCTCGTCTTCTCCGCCCCTCTGTTTCTTCCCTCTATTTTCTCTCCTTCTCCCCCCATTTCCTTCCTCTCACAGTCTTCAAATTACTCCCTAACAGTCTTCACATTTTGTCCCAAACACCACAATGGCCTCTCTTTCTCCCTCTCCTCTTCTCTCCAAAACTACAATTTCATTCTCCTCCTCCGTCTCCACTTCACTCCCATGGAAATCCTTTCCCTCCTTCTCCGCATACAAGCCTCAGTCTTGTCGACGAAGAATCTACACCGTCCAATCGAAAATCCGTGAGATCTTCATGCCCGCTCTCAGCTCCACCATGACCGAGGGCAAGATTGTTTCTTGGATCAAGTCCGAGGGTGACGTTCTTTCCAAAGGCGAAAGCGTCGTCGTAGTGGAGTCTGACAAGGCCGACATGGACGTCGAGACTTTCTACGATGGAATTCTTGCCGCGATTGTCGTTCCCGAAGGCGAGTCCGCTCCTGTTGGCGCGCCGATTGGGATTTTAGCCGAGACCGAGGATGAAATCGCTGAAGCCAAGGCTAAAGCCGCGTCGAATGGTGCTACTTCATCTCCACAAGCTGTTGCTCCCTCTCCTCCTCCTGCTACTTCCACTCCCGCTCCCGCCCCTGCTGTTTCACAACCCGAGCCCAAAGAACCGGCGGAGACAGTTGCGAGTGGGCCCAAAAAGATTGTAGCCACGCCGTTCGCCAAGAAGTTAGCTAAGCAACACAAAGTGGATATTAATTCGGTGGTTGGAACGGGGCCGTTTGGCAGAATTACTCCGGAAGACGTGGAAAAGGCAGCAGGAATTGAACCTTCTAAGAATGTGGCACCTCCTACTGTAGCAGCTCCAGCTGCGGCTACTCCGCCGAAAAGTACGGCAGCTGCCCCTCCTCCACTTCCGGGTTCTAGTGTTGTGCCTTTTACGACAATGCAGTCTGCCGTATCGAAGAATATGATTGAGAGTCTTTCAGTCCCCACTTTTCGTGTTGGATACCCGATAACTACTGATGCCCTTGATGCCCTTTATGAGAAGGTAAAGTATCTATAAATGTGAATTGTGTTTCTGGGATGGTTTATTAATTAATTTTTTCTTTTTGTGTCTGATATTTTTCCATTTCGAATTTGTAGGTGAAGCCAAAGGGTGTGACAATGACTGCTCTGTTAGCCAAGGCTGCAGCAATGGCTCTTGTTCAGCATCCGGTTGTTAATGCCACCTGTAAAGATGGAAAGAGTTTTACTTACAATAGTAATATCAACATTGCGGTTGCTGTGGCTATCAATGGTGGCTTGATAACACCTGTTCTTCAGGATGCAGATAAGGTTGGATATTTTATATCACAACCATATATAATACATTCTATTCGATGTTGTATCTATTATTGTTATTTTTCCTCTTGAAGAATTTAAAGCAAGTGCCCCCAATTTGGTGTGAGGGGGATCTGAAATCCTCCTATGCATTTATAAGAGATCTTACCACAGTTACCTGTAGGTCTTAAGACTTTTGAGTTAGTTTTAACGAGTAACTTGTTTTTATTGGCACAGTTGGATCTGTATTTGCTATCTCAAAAATGGAAAGAGCTTGTGGACAAAGCTCGAGCGAAGCAACTTCAGCCCCATGAGTACAATTCAGGTTTTTACTAATTCATTTTCATCAGTTTATTTATGTCTTCCATTTTATGTGTTTATGGTTTCATAAATTGTACTGGTATTGCTGATAGGGACTTTCACTCTGTCCAATCTGGGCATGTTTGGAGTGGACAGATTTGATGCTATTCTTCCTCCTGGCCAGGTGAGTAATAAGGACTAGGCTTTTTCGTCTCAATTACCTCATGATTTATCTCTATTATATGCTAAAAGTTTGGGAATGTTCAGGGGGCTATCATGGCTGTGGGAGCATCAAAGCCAACCGTGGTGGCTGATAAAGATGGTTTCTTCAGTGTGAAGAGTAAAATGCTGGTGAGTTCAATTTCCATTTATTAATCGATATTAAATGATAAGCCCTGTTATCTGGACCCTGACATAGGATAAAAGATTTAAATGATTGTTTGCGTATTGAGCAGAATATACAAATGAGAAGGAAAAACAATTCGCATCCATTTTTTTTAATATGTTACATATTGTAGGCATAGCATCAATGTCATGCTACTTAATGTATTACATCACATTGCAGTTGTGATCTGTATTTGAGGAGCTTGAGTCTGCTTAAGTAGTATTTATCATAGGTACAAATTTTGTTGGGTTCTTTTTGTAAGAGGATAATGTGTCTTCTGTATATTAAAGAAGATGGCTTAAACCCAATTGTCTTAGCATCAGGGGTAAACGAAATAATTCGGGGGTTTTGCCCATTTGACAGTATTAAATCTATTGGAAATAGAATGGAAAGAATGAGTTTTGAACTCCTTTGAAAACACTAGCCAGTTTCGTTTGTTGAACAATAATTGGACCTTGTGATATACATGGCATGGTCCATTCGAAGCATTTTGCAGTGAGGATCTTGCTTAGTATAATAAGTTTTTTCATCTTCTAATTGCTACAAACCTTTTTTTGTCCAAAATGGTCGGGCTCAAAAGCTTCATTTCCCACTATGAAGTATGACCCTCTCCCCATTCACCAAGTTTAGACCTGTGTGCCATGCCATAAGGCACAGGATTGAGGAACAGCTTCTCAATCATCTTGGAACAATAGAGTTGGGGCTAGTATCATAGTTTCTGGTATCTTGCTCCTAGATCAATAGCGATCAAGATGTAAAAGTACTTGTAGAATGTTGGAATTGATACCCTCAATGAACTAAGATGTTTTTTGCTCCACTTTGACCCTTTGGTGCTGTGCAATAGTGTGCTTGGTGTACCTATCCCCCAAAACTAAATCAATCCCAAGCATTTTATGAGCAAAATTTGATTCCAAAAGCTCTTGTACAGTTGCAAGAGACCTTGCCAACTACAAGAGACAATGCAGAAGATTTAGCCTCTAAAACGTCCTTGAAATAAACCAAATCTTTCTTGTTAAGCCGACCATCTATATTAACCTTGTATCACTTGCTCATATACTTCATTCTTTGCTTCTCCTGATATGCTCTGTTGTACCTTCTTGTAACTTGAATGTGATGCAATTTGCAGTTTTTAAAAGGAACATCCATGCTATGTTACTGATATTTTATTTTGATGCAAGTTGGGATGAGATATCCATAAACCAGATGACCAATGGTCAGAGTATTAAAACTTATCTAAAGTTTGATTAAGAAAGCAAATCTTGTTTCTTAACAGAGATATTCAACAATAACTTTGTGGAGATATGAAACCTGCCCCCTTAACTTATTAAGTATCAGACAATTATTGGTTAACATGATGAATCATACGAATACAAACTATTGCCTATTGCACATGCTTTTTTTTGGAAGTTATCTTGAATGAGATTAGCTTATCATCCTGGGCTGTTAATTTCCATTTGGTGACTGTATGACTGACTAAATTTGTATGTTCCGAGTGTTGATTATTGCTAAGACATGGGTATAGCTAGGAAGCCTATGACATGTTATGGAGATATCAATGGGGTGAAAATAAAGTAACTGTTTAGCTAGCTGGGGAAAAATGCCTAAATAATTTCGTTGTCAGCAACAACTCTGCCACCCAGCTTAATGTTGGAGTCGGATTAGCATGGCCAGTGCCATCTAGAGTGGTAGAAACTGGAGTTTAGCTCCTCTTTTTGAGCATTCACCATTCATGAGATTTTTGAATGCTGTGAAAGGAAGAATACAAGGTTGAAACTTGATTTGAAGTGTTTTTATACTGTTTGAATATAAACTTCAAAAATAAACACCCTCTTATTTGGTTACAAATACAGCAAAGCTTTCCTAATGATTAGATATTTCCACTGAACCTGACTGAGTTGGCATGTCATTCTGTTTACAGGTAAATGTAACAGCTGATCACCGAATTATCTATGGTGCTGACTTGGCAGCCTTCCTTCAAACCTTTTCAAAGATCGTTGCAAACCCAGATAGCCTGACATTGTAGATGGTCTCTGGGCTTTCGATGTAGTGAATCCGGCTGATTAGATCCTACATTCTTCGGCGGGTGATGGAACAATGGTGCGTCTATTATTTAGCAAAGTGCCTTGCCAAGTGGTTTTGCAGTAGTCCCGGTGAGAATGTGCTCGTGTTGCATTTCATCTTGTTTTGATTTTTTAAGATCTCATATACAATATCAGATGTGTTGAGTTGATTTTAATTTATAATGAAGCAATAAGAACTCTGAAGTTTCTGACAGAACCCAGTGAAAATTGTTTTGTCCAAAAGGTCGTAATTCGAAATATGTGGCTGTTTCATTAAATAAGTTGTGAGTTATATTAACTTTTGAGTTTTACTGAATTAACTAAATTCATGAACACCAGATCCATTTTACCAAACAGTAAGAAGACAACAAAATTATATCAGTGTTATCATGATATTAATATAGGTCAGCAATGGATAATTATGTTATGATCCTAAATGATAGATGGTTTTATTACCTTATAAAACGGGACCCACCTTCAAATTCAGACTCAAGTGTCAGCAAATTTCTATAATACCATTATCTATTGATAAATAATCAACAGGACGAATACAAAGTGTCCCTGTTTAAAGACAAATGCTTATGTACAAATGACCTGATTTATCTCCTACGTTCTTTATAGAGACTATGTAAGATTACTTACAGCTTCTGCTGTCTGCCTGGAAATGCTCGGAAGCAGCTGAATGAACCTTAGAAAATATATACTACAAAGATAACAGCCGCCGGAAGATAAGAAGAAAAGTAATATAATTGCTGCTGAATGAAGAAAGAGATTTGAAGCAAAGATTTCTTTATGTAAAAACTGTCCTGGAAGATCTGATGTTTTTGTACGACAAATGAATTTACCAGTCCAAGTTGATATTCCTAGAAATGTAAAGCTTATCAATGTACTGTATAACTGGAACTGAAGCATCAATATATCTTTTCATTTTCTTCTCTGCTGATTTATCTGCAACAACATTGACAAAAGTAGCTCAGGTCTCCAGGAGAGTACAACATAATTTCATCTCTTCATAGAAAATAAAGCAGTAACTATAAGTTCTAACCCGAATATCTAAGTTCAATAAATAATCGAATCATTTGCATATAAGCTTCTATTTATCTTCAAAGACATCCACGTAAATTGAAATTCAGGCTATTAACTCATATTGATAGCAATTGACGGTTTATTTGGTGAAATAGCTTACTAGTTGTATGGTATTCAAATCCATTAGTAATTTGATATTTACCATTGGTAAGAAGTCAAAAGAGGGCCATAAAGAGAAATGAGAAAAAAATAAAGAAAGAAAGAAGGAAAAAGATAAGAAAGAACAGAGTGAAAATGTATGCTCATGCAATTTGTAGTATTTCAAATTTTCGGAATAAAACAATATCTTTTTATCTGTTATGAGCTCATCTACTGTCACTACAGTACATTAGCATCATTCATAAGAAGCTGAGGCTGATATTAGAAAATAGTAAAACATGTCATTAATTTACTCAAAATTTCCACATTGAATATGAACAGAGATTTCAGAGAAAGCCTTTCAATTTTTATGAGTTGGACAATATATGTGCACATTCTTCTGATTTTTGCTTAGTTTATCATTATCATTGGTCTCAAATTGAAAATAATTAAATAAAAATGATACCCTTTACAAAAAAGATCAATTTAGATTTCATACTACCAAACTTATTTATTTAAAAGATGGTTAAAACTCACCAGTTTCATTAAGCCTCAGCAGAAGTTGATCCCTACTTGGAAGAGTACACATTCCTGCATAAACTGCAGTCCTGACTGTCCATGAGTGGTAGGGTGCACAAACTTGCGTGTAAGCTGTTGACGCTGCTTCCTTCAAGGAGTAATCACTGAAAGTGAAAAATTCCAGATATTACAACCAAAGAACAAAAATAAAATTTGAAGCTGACACTGTCCTGACCTATCATGATAAGCACATTTATATATCATAGAACACTTGACATGTTTAATGATTGCAGCGAAAAGAAGAAGTAATCATCAAGGGGCCGAGCATACTTGGTTGCCAAGAATTGTTCAAATAAAGCTCTGATGAGGTCAAGACCCTGCCGAACTCTTCGAAGATTACGGGAATTACTTCCTGATGTTTTCACATTGCCATTTGCAATATCCCTATCAAGTATCTCATGTAATGTTTCATAGGTTTTTGATGCTTGTACAAGATTTTTTACCTGAATGCATCATGTCATTAGACCAAATCATATAAATGAAGCCAACATGAAATTACAGAACATAATTCACTGTGAAAAATACATATTGATGATATGCGAACATAATAACATAGAAAGGCAAGCTTAAATGCATGTAGCAATAAATCCACATCTAAATACAGGCTCATATATGATCGGCCGAGATACTTGATCCAGTGACAGGGAGGTCCAACGAATCAGCAGTGAACAAAAGATTACATTCCGGGGACAAAATTTGACACCAAAAGACATAAAAGCAAGATGATCAACACCTCTAACAATTAGGATTACTGTTGAAACTCTGGAACCCCTCCAGTCCGGCCAACAATAACTTTCTTCTCATTGAATGTTCAAGTAGAGAAAATATAATTATCAATATCATTCTAGCAGCTGGAAACATAATCCTCTCTGCAGATGGCAGTTTCAATGAGCATTAAAAAAAAAAAAAAAAAAAAAAGGGAAATTAAAAGGCCAAAGGGTACCATGATCTACATTTGGGGCCTGTAGACAATTAAAAATTTCAACGGAACTCCATTCAAAAAAAAGATAGCCAATTAATGTAAACTGATAAAAATAAAAAAGTTTTTGAGCCTAGCTAAAAAGTGAGAGATCAGGAGTCTCAAAAAAATATGCTGCAGGTGAAATGATTAAATGGGCTAAATCGTAATCAAGACGCAAAACAGACTCTATCAGCATTGATGGTTGTTTAATTTGGACACAGAAATCTCAAGAAAACAGAACAATTTGGTAACAATATCAAAGAACAAACAAAGGATTGAAAAGAAAGTTGAAAAGACGAAAGAAATGATAAATGAACCTTGGAGACGTACTCCAACTCAGCGAATTTGAAAGCGAGGCCAAGACTACTAAATAAAACAGAAACCAAGGAAGAAGCATCACAGAAACTATCCAATCGGAGCTCGCTATTGCTTCCACAATTCAGCAACTTCTCCAGCTCCTCGAACGCCCCAACGATCACACCCAAAGGCGTCGACATTGTTGTCCTTCTTGTTGTTGATAAAACCCCACGTCTCGCGTCTCCAAATCTGTATTCTACTAAGTCCTGATTCATTTTGACTCTATATATATACGCTTCAGGACTCGTGAATTGTACTAGTTAGAATTTGTCAAAACTTTAACATTCTCTGTAAGAATACTCAAATGAAAAAGGAAGACAAGTGCAACGGTCTAACTTGTAGTTGTATGTGAATGTGATAGGTTTACGTGTTAATGTGGGTTTTCTTTCTAGTTTTGTTTGTTTCTCGGATGAGTTAACAAGTGTACGTGAAATTTAACTTTGCTACAGATGCGGTCTGTCCAAGGAAGTATGACTAATAGCCTCTGATTAATGGAGAGAATCAAACGTCAATGTCCGCCTCAGCCGACTTTCACGCTCATTTTGCGAGGTCTTAGTTTGGCCAGAATGGATCTGGGCCGGGGTCTGTTAATATGAGCCCATGCTGTTTCCATGGGTTAGCAGGCTTTCTTGAGAATGCAATAATGGATTTAAGGTTGATTAGGATCTGAATTCTTCTTTTAAAGATATGTTTATAGTTCAATCTCAACAGTGTATTGTGTTTAGATAAAGATCAAATCACGAGAGAATCTTTAAAATGAAAAGAGAGAACATTCTCTTAACATCTATAGTGATAAATCGTACAAAAAGTTGTACATACTAATTTCTATGTCATAATTTTACATGCATATTATTTAGAGATACATTAATTAGCTAGCCCCAAGTGCCCTACATATGGCTAGTTCCATCACTACGTAAATCCCAATTCTGCCTTGAAGCTGCAACTAAACCTTGCTTTCAAGCTCTACTCCTCCATCTTCAGAGTCAGTTTCTTTGTTATGGATCTGAAGGGACTTAAGAGTATACATTTTGGCACAAAATAAATAGTAAATAAGATTGACAACTTGCATCAATGTGATCAACCAGTAGAAGTACTCCAATTTTCCCTTATTCAAGTTATTATCCGGCAGCCAATTTGATCCATCAGCTCCAGCACTAAACTTGTGCACCAAAGTCACCAAAAGTGTACTAATATAATTCCCAGCTGAAATCGCCGTCCAAAATAATGCAGTAGCAGTGCTCCTCATGCTTTCTGGTGATTGGTCATAAAAAAACTCCAAATGACCGATGGACATAAAGGCTTCAGCTATTCCATGAAGACCATATTGCGGCACAAGCCAAAACACTGAAATGGGAATAATTGTATGAGGTTTATCGGCGAGCCCATGTGCCAATGCTGCTTCTTTTCTCTTCACTTCGACGAAGCCAGCAACAAGAGTGGCTAATATTGATATGACAAAGCCTATTCCCATGCGGTGCAAGAAGGTGATGCCGCGATCAAGGCCAGTGAATTTCCGGGTAACAGGGACTAATATGCGATCATATAAAGCGATTGTAGAGAGCATAAAGACCATGGTGAAGACTGACATGGAGCCAGCAGGGATTTGGAAGGACTTTGAGAGGTGCCTGTCCATGGTTTTGGCTTGTTGCAAGGAGAATGTGCTTTGTTGTGCATAAGCTGTGATTAGGAGAATCCCTGCAGCCCATATTGGTCCCATTCTAATCACAGACTTAAGTTCCTCCACGCGATGGACAGTGTTTAATCTCCAAAGATTTGGAGATTTCAGATTGTCTTCTTCATTCACAATTGCAGCTTTACTGAGAAACCTGGATTCACAACGTGTCAATTTGTGATTAATGAATTAGCTTCCAAATTAATTCACGCCACTAGATGGTGGTGGGGAATGTAAAGAAAACTTGTAAGTTATTCCTGCGCCACATAAAAGAAACAAAATTCTCACTGTATCCTATTCAACCTTTTCAACTCATGTAGTCATATTTCTAACGCCATACATCTTTCTTTATCACACGCTTGTTTAGTACGTAAAGAAGAAGGAGAGAAGAAGAAGATGGAATACGCGTTAAATCAGATGGTTCATGCATGATTGTGATAAGTGTGAAAGAAATCACAAGGTTTTGTTGTTTAGCAGGGAAGCAACCACGATAGAGATCAATTATGTGGTGCTGCTGCTGCTCAAAAAACCATGCCTGAAATTGCGGTCCCTACACTTCTCCAACTAGTGTACCCTGTATCGTATGCACCGACAAATTGATCATTTCATTTGTTTGCTTCCAAACCAATAACAGTATAACACCCACTATCAAACAGATCACCATCATCAATCTCATATTGTGGATACAATTAGATCCGTCATCATCTTCTCTTTATCTTTTTGCTCTAGCATCAATGATCACTTGACAAAATCATTTTTCTTAATCAACAAAATCATTTTAAATACGTTATGCATAAAAGTAGAAAGTAAATGAAATAGCAATTTACTTAAATTTACTACTCATGAAAGGGCTGATATTTCGTCGTTACCCTAAAAAGTCTTGTAAAATAACAGTGAATATACTGATTACTATTTATCAGTGTGAATCTTTATTACGGCAAATCAAACTCCAAGGCAATTTACCTTTTGAAAAGGGACTGCTAGTGCTACTACCAAAGTTAAATAAACAATTCATTAATTTACTGCTACATTTCAATGTGAATATTTTATGAACACTTTTTGCACATGATGTGGGTCAAGTAGCAAAAGTTCATGCCGTAATTTCATTTTCTGATGTTAATGGAACCTAATTTGGTGTGTGGTCTTTGATTTATAGAAAGAAAAATTAGAGAGACTTACTTCATATGTTTAGTGTACAAAAGCTTTCCACCAAGAGAAATAGAGGCATCAAGTTCTTCATTCTGGTACAACAATTTCGGATCAGAAACCATAGCCAGCTTTCTCTTTCTAAACGCACTCACACACACTTGTATCAATCGGGTAAATGGGCTCCCAGCTGGATCCAAGTTCCGGTAAAGCGGGTACCCAAAGATGAATGCAATAATTGAAATGAACATTGCAATACATGGGATACCGAGACCCCAGCCCCATCCAATATTATCTTGAATATAAACAATCACTGTCACAGCCACAAGTATGGAAGCCCCCATGCAAAAGTAGTACCAATTAAAATATTTCCAAGTCTTTGTTGCTTGTTTCGGATCTGTCTCATCAAACTGGTCCGCCCCGAATGCTACCACACAGGGTCGGATTCCACCCGACCCGAGAGCTGTAAGCAGGAGAGATGCATATAAAATTGTGAGCTGTCCAGTGTTCGCCTGTTGACACACTTGTTCACCTTCACACGGCGGTGGCCTCAGTTGTGGAAGAATTGCTGACAGTGTTAAAGAAACCATTCCCTGTCATTAGAAGAGAAAGACCAAGATTAATTTGATACGCAAATTTGGGTAATTAACTTGATGTTGACACAGCTTGTTCTATCGTTCTCTGTTGCATATGCATATATTAATATTATTTAATGATAGCAACTTTTTTTTATCAAAAATTAAATTTATTGATGGCAACGGAAAGTTACTGGTATCTGTTTCGTATGTTCAGGTGTTGTCAGAATATCAATAGAGAGAGAGGGTGTTAATTACAATTTGATAGATGATGGAAGCAATTGTTATAGTCCAGAAGCGGCCGGCATATGCGTCGGCGACGAAGGCTCCGATGAGGGGCGTCAAACTTGAAGTTCCTCCGAAGTTGGTGAGAGTGTTAGCAGCTTGTGTTAATGGCATATGCAGTTGTGTTGTCAAGTAGCTAATCATATTAGTACCAAACCCCACCACGGCCAACTTCTCGCAGACCTCATTTGCTACACCAAATCAACAAAACCATCATAAGATATTAAGTAGAAGAAGAAAAAGAAGCAAATTTGAAAATATTTCTTAAAGTGCATTAAGCTAGAGTAGAGCGCTTACCAAATATGAAGGGCATGGTGATCATGCCACCCTTTTGTCTTTTGACATGGCTGCTTTTCTCTTCCATCTTTTCCATTATTGCTCTGTGTAGTACTGGAGGAACTGCTGTGCTTAATGCCTCCATTTATAGGCCAATATCCAAGGTTTTAACCCTCTGTAAATAATGTCACTATTCTGGAACCTGTCTAATATGTGAACATAAGAACTGGATATGTCATATATGTAAAGTTAATTAAAAATTCTGTCGCACTCGCATGTATATATTAATATTAGGCACGTAGCCACACATAGAGTTGTGGATTAAACTTTTTAAAAATTTCAAAAATAATTATTAATTAACATTTTTTTTAACTTTTCTTTCTTCTCCGTTTCCTCTCATTTTCTCTTATATTATATTTTTACTTTGGTTTGATACTCAAGAAAGTCTATTCCTTTAGATTACAATATAAGATGATGCTCATTTTATTTTTATTTTTTTACTTAAAATTCGTTTCCTTCAGTTTTCTTAATTAATGAAAAATCAAGAGTTATCGGTTTTTGTTGAGTTTAATAAATGAGTTTGAAACTGGAAGATTAAATTCCTACATTTTGATGTAGGTTTTGATTTAATTTTATTTATGTTAACGTATGAGTTTATTAGTTGTTGTTTTAAGTTGGGTTTGATAAATTTTGGTTAGTTAGTGAGTTAATTTTAAATGATTTAAAAAATTGATAAAACCCTAAGTTGACATCTGGGGATTTGGTTTAACTTTGATATATTAGTTAATTACTTGATATTTAAAATTGGATTTGATGAGTTTTCATGGATTTATGAATTGAATTTTATTGGGTCAATAGAAATTGTTTGAAAACCCCAATTTATGAGTTGAATTTTGATAATTTTTTTTAATTGTAATTTTTTTGTAAGTGTTATTTTAATTGTATTGGTTAAATATAAGTACTATATATTTTATTGTAAATTTATCATTTTTGATGTTTTGAATCCACTTACTCAACCTTGGTTACGTCTTTATTAATATATATACTTTAAAAATGATCCAGAATTTATTAAATGATATAACATTGAACTCCAAGGTTCAGTGAATAGACAGTTCCTTAATCCTTACCCACTATCTACAAAATAACAGTTTTACATGAGCCGGCTAGTAAATCAATTATGGTAAAGTTTAAAATGGGGAAAAAGACATATCACGTAAATATGACAGGCATGTTTTGTTGTTATCTCCTTTTTTCCAGTTTGTATTATTGGTTTGGAGAGGGCAGAATGGACGATGATGATGGAATGGACCGGCTGTTATAAAGAAGATTAAGAGACCCCTCATCATGGAGTGATGGAGACAGCGGAAAGTTGCAAGTAATATTTCAAATTATCAAAATTCTGCCGTATAAATTATATATTTATTTCAAAAGTTGTATATTATATACGCTGTGTATCAGAATAGATAAGTGAAAAAAAAAAAAAAAAAATTATAAAAGAGACATCATAATATATATGAACCTGATCTCGTCAACATTTTTTTTTTAAATGAAGATGTAGGTGGTAACTGGTATGATATCTTGTGATTTTTGTTTTTCTTGTTTCCGAAATTTGTATGGAGTGGGACTGGTAGGTGGTGTAAATAAAGAATAAAATAGAAGATTTGTTTAAAGGAAGATATTATGAATACTAGGTCTAAAGAGAACCAGTTGCCAATATTATTCATATGGAGATTGATTGGAAGCATAGCCTTTATAAATATTATATTTACTACAATTATTAATGTTAGGTATACTATTATTGTGTAAGTTATCTGTATCANATATATATATATATATATATATATTAACATTTAACAATAATGATAATTTATTTAAATATATGCGAACACATATTTAAACGTAATCTCACTTATTTAATTTTAATATCAAATTAAATAAAGGCTACAACTAGGGGTGAGCGCGGGTAGCGGGTAGAACCGGATATATATATATATATATATATATATATATATATATATACAGAGAGAGAGAGAGAGAGAGATGATATGATATGAAGTCTATCTATACGTCGAACAAGTAGTAGCATGGTCTCACTGATATATACTTAACCAAGCGGTCCAAACCTTAAATTTAATTCTGATAATTAATAAAACTTCAATAATAGTACTTAAGAAGTAACAAGAACGTTAGAAAGATGTATGAGGACCATATATATATGGCGTAGCAGAAGCATGATGCGTGATAGTCTCTGCATTGACCAACCAAAATGATTGAACAGACTGAATCGAGATAATCATCAATAAATAAATAATAGAAATCTATAACCAAATTTGATAGAAAGAGCTGCCTGCAACCAATATTGCCCACAACTTTAATGGAGTTTGACGTGAGAAATGATGCAAGCAGAAGCAAAGTAGGGGTGAGAAAATTACTGTTACATCAAACAGATCACACATTTTTTATTTATCCTAGTATCTGTATTACAGTGTGACTGTAGAAACAAAGAAAGAAAGAAGTTGAGGGTCGATGACTCATCCACGTGTCCCAACTTTTTCAACTCATCCAGATCCAGTCAATACAATAGTTAATGAGGAAGGAGCAAGTGGGGGGTGGGCTTGTAGGGCCCGTATATGGACCGAGTGGACCGAATGGTCCATGTGGTTTGACTATGACATAAGACCAAACTCATCTCTACACTATTTTAATTGCTACCTCTTTTTAAGGTTTATAGTGGAATGTCTTATTTCTGAGCTTGGAATTGGACACCTGTGAAACTCCATGCGCCTTCCAAAACGCGGGCGGTGATATTTTGTAAAATATATTATGGGTTGGCATAAGATCATACTAAGTCACAACCAATTTGCACTAATTTACTTACCTTATTACATTTACCACACCAAGCCAAATTAATAGACATATGTATACTATAATTTTCTTTTCCCTTGGTTTATGTTTTATCTCACTGTGTTTTATTGGTAAGGTTTTTCTTACAATAATTTTTAGCACATCTAACGCCACTTTACATTATCTTAAATAATTGTGTTTTCTTGCTCAAATTTGTATTTCATTGGATTTTTCCTAGCAATATCATATTCAGGTCTTTGCCAATGGGTGAAAATCCATAGAGAGATTGTTGTAAATGGTGTCTTTCTACTAAGGATCCCAAATTCTTTTGTGAGGATCTACACCCCATCTCAAATTGTCAATTTAAGAGTGGATATAAAGATATACATAAATGTCATCTCTTTTTTGAAGATAGAGATGGGGATGACCAAAATACTAAAAGAATTTTTATCATATCATGTGATGTTAGGTTCTTTTCGCCTTTCCTTCAAAGAATTTGTAGAATAATAGTTTTTTGAAAACCTTGTTGTAAACAGGCTACCGATAAAGACTCGAGACCGCTGGACCATGCAATTTTGAAGGCATAGGGATTTCAAAAATATTACCAAATACTCATGATTTTCAAACAGAATCCTCCTCATATACTAATGGTTAAAATTTAAGAATATTTATTGATTTGATTAAAGCATATTTCTTGTTACCATTTAATGAAAAGCACCACCTATACTGAAACTTTATTTTCTGACTTACAACTAAGTTAAAACAACCGAAGCTTATAAATTATGAATCTCTATGCGATATTGTATGCAATTCTATTTCCAAATGCTTTTGACTATGGCAGTTAGTTTCCATCAAATGGAAAATACCTCATATTGTTTTTAAAAATATTTTTCATACAGTATTTATTATATTAGAATTCAATAGATAAGCAAGAGGGTGCTACTTTCGGTTATGGTTGTACGATCTACAGTTTACACCATCATTTATGCTGTGGGTTCCTCTTCATTATAATTAGCTGAACACTTTGGCAAGGGGTTTATAAACTTTGTTTAAAATTAACTTGAACAAAGGCGGTCTGGCAGTGACATAAGTGATGACACAAGAGAGCAATAGCAGGCGCTGAGGCAAATGTGAGGATTTGGCAAGACCATGAAAGCCACTAGCACCTCATCAAACTGAACTGAATTGTTTGTCTTCTCGTCTTTAACTGCTTCTATAATTACCAAGACTTTCAACCAATTGTGAATTTGTGACAATCAGGCCGCCAAATTTAAATTTAAGACCCAACCTCCGATAATTTGAATATCTACGGACTAATTATGTATGCAAAATATATTTCTCAGTTAATTAAATGCGCTAAACAAAGAATAGTGTGAAAGCTGGGAGATTGTTAAAGAATTTTAATTAATTAATTCTGGAGAAAACTGATGGATTGTTAAAGAGCTGTTTATTTTACTTTGGAGAAAACTGATAGATTGTGAAACAATCAACAAAGAGAAATGGTAAGTGCATGCCGATATGATTCAATGTAGGCAAAAGGAAATTAACAACTATGCATATAGGCATTTGCATAATCCTACAAGGAAGAAACTGAAGAATATTACATTTTGCATTACTTGTCCACTCCAGACACTCCAGTGTTGTAAACGCCAAACTTGATTAACAAATGAAGTCAAGGAGAAGGGGGAAGAAAAAAAGAGCAAAAGCGAAAATAAAGAAAAAGAAATAATGTACGTTTTCAAAGGAGCGGACAGAGGCAAGTGACCATCCTGATCACCTATAATCAATCCTCAAACTCGTGCATGTGGTCCAGAAGATAGTTGGCAGCCACTTCCTCGTCCTTGTTGCAGGCAAAGAACACCTCCAATACTGTTGCCCGATCAAAGCCCATTGCTTCAAGCTGTATCAAGAGCGCCAAAAGGATTATCTTCCGACTAACCAAAGCAGATACAGAACTCAAGCAAGATGCATAAGTATATATCAGTATCATTGAGAAATATGCAAATTTGAAAGATAGCAACCAACTTCAAGCCTAGACCACATTCTATCATCTAAGATTACATGACCCAAAAAATAAATTCCAAAGGCCCATTGCCAAAATCCCACATGGCATCAAAAAGTTGAAAATTACAATGTTCAAATTATGTAATGATGAACTTACCCGTTCTATTGCTTCACGCTCTTCAGGCGTGACAGTTATTGCCTGAGGAATTGCCCCAGAAAGCTGTCCCCCGATATTCCTACAACACAATAATAACAGATGAGTACAATAAGCACACAGACAAGTTCATGAAATAAGAGAGATGTCACTTACCCCTCACCACCTTCGACAGGTTCATTGATAAGCCGAAGGAAGTCAGCCTGATGCTCCTGAATAAGCCTCACTAATGCAGGATTTTGTTTCCCCAACTCTTGAAGCATGGGCTACAAAAATAACAGCATTAAAACAAACTTCCATTGAACGAAAAAAGATTGGACAGGGCAGTAAGAACCTGCAATAAATGTGGGTTGGCCTGCACCATAGCTCGCAGGACTTGAAACTGAAAAAGAGAACAAAAATTTAAGAAATAGCAAATGTTTCAGACAAGTCTATTCAAATGTAACTTGGTGATCACATACACACAAGAATGACAAAGCATGCCTGTTTCAGACCTGTGGACTATTACGTAAGAATTCAAGAGTTCCTGCACCAGCTGCGCCTGAGCCCATGTCAGGAAGGCCCTGTTTTCAATAAAATAAAACCTCACTTCATAACATAACAATTTTATGAACAGCTTACATAATTTAATTAACTAATGACAAAGCCACTACCTGTGGAAAGAGGTCTAAAGGGTTTGCATTGGGTCCACTAGCAGGAGCAGGTGTCGGTTGGGTTGGCTGTGTAGGCTGGGTAGGAGAGTTTGTAGCTTGCCCACTAACAGGGACACGGGCCACGGGCGGAGCTTCAGCTTGCTCAGGGATACCCTGATATTTAAACATAAATCGGTAAAACAAAACACCACACAAAATGCAATACAAGGTCAAAGGATCATATGACACAAAATGAGAAATAGAATTATCTCCTTGGCTAGTGAATGCATAAAATCTTACATGATCAGAAACCAATAAACCCAATCAAGAATTTACAAAACATAAAGCACACATCCAAATCAGAAGCTAGGATAGGAAGACAGGAGTCAGAGGAACTACTAAAATTCACAAGCATTTAGCCAAAAAACTCAAAAAGATGACAAAAACATTTTTGACAACAATTACTGTTGAGTTCCTTGCACAATTAATACTACTTAATGACTTAAAAATTCTCAGGACATACAAGGAAAAATGCTTAATACTTAAATCATCCTTGGCAAAGACACCCATCCAACATTTAACACTTCAGCAAAATAAAGCAGTATTAATCAGAATACTATTCAAGATCCACTTAAAAACCTCCATTAGTCAATGATTAGCATCTAACAAATTATCATCAACAACTTAAAACCTGCAGAAGCAAACTAGTAACATTAGCAAGTTCAACCAAATAAGAATAGCAGAATTAGACTACTACAAAATTGATCTCTTCCTCTAGTAGGAGATCACCCATTATACAGCACTGTCATCAAGCAGGAAAACATCAAATGGAGGACAGATTAAAAACCACCAAACACAAATTCAATAATTATCTTGTTCGTCCAAAAAGACAGCGCAAGGAATTGTTATCACTCAAACAGGAAAGGAGAACTTGAAGTCGAGAACAATAAGATAACACAATGCACTCTCCAAATGACTAAAAGCCACAAAATCTTTCGAAACTGAACCATAAATATGTTAAAGAATCAAATAATAAAGAAAAACTCACAGAATACAAATATTCAACAGCTCTCTCCGGGTTATTGTAAGCAGCACGGAGAGCACGGACAACAGTATCTCTATCCCAAGTACCTCCACCCATATCAAGAATTTGCTGGATTGCTCCCTCCAGGTTATTCCCTGCAACCAGATTTGATGCGGCTTCGCCATAGACATTGGATTCTGACCTGCCTCACCAAATAGAAATAAATTTCGAGAGACGATGATCAATCGTCAATCTACTCTAATTTTATCATTTAAAGGCTATACTGTGATAAAAAACTAGCTCTATCTCTAAACCATTAGATTAAAATATGAGCAGTTAGAATTCTATCTCCTGTTTAAGTAAAAAATTAACTTACTGTATGCTGATCCATATAATCTATATATTTAAAATAGAGTTGGGACACTGTGACTTGTGAACAAAGCTAAAGAAGAATCATCAAGTTACTTTATAAAAATAAGATACATACGTAGCAGTAACTAATGCGACAGGGGCAGGGGCAGGGGCAGGGGCAGGGACAGGGGCAGTGGCAGGGATAGGGGCAGGGGCAGGGGCAGTGGCAGGGATAGGGGCAGGGGCAGGGGCAGGGGCAGCTACGGGCACAGGAGCAGGGGCAGGAGCAGGAACGGATGCAGGCCTGTGTAGTTAAAAATAAATAAATAATTAAAAAAAATTTGCATTTACTGCCTTTTATAGAATCTTTAATTCAGTGAAAGCCTAGGCACAAGGAAGACTCACGGTGCTGATGTTGGTACAGGAGTCTCAGGAACTGTTGCCGCAGCTGGTGCTGGGGTTGGAGTACTTGTTTGGGGAGCCTATAAGAGCAATAGATTAGTCAATATGAATGAGGCACTACTCAAATGAGGAAAAGAGGCAAAAATGAAAAAGGAATTCAAGTAGCACATTCAAACATCCAACCTAAATATGCTAAAGGAATTAGCAGACCAGAGCACTATGGAAACACCACACAAGACTTAAAAGACAAGATATAGTTTACCAGAGAAATAAATAATTTAAACATAAGCAAACCATTAATAAGAACAAGCTAAAGAAAAACAAATAAACAGCATCACATTCAATAGAACCCACCAAAACAAAATTAAAGAACAAATCATATTCAGCAGAGTCCGTAAAAACCAAAATAAACAAGCATCATGTTCAACAGAACTTAAAAAACCCTATATAGATGCAAAAACATGCTGGTATTTTCAATATCTATGGAAGATGGTACAGATAAACTTTAACACTTGTGAAAGCTTTAATAATTTGAACGATAATTCAGCGCACAAATGCATCAGTACACCAAAAGCTTTCTATTCTTTTTTTTTTTTTTTTTGTAGAAAATAAGAAATCTTGCAATGAGACATCTTCCACTTTGGAAAATATCAACATCAAGAGCAAAATTATTACTAGCAACAGAAGTTCCACAAAGATAATAGTCTTTAGTTAAAAAACCAGGTGCTTATACAACAAATCTGTTTTTACCTTAGCTGTAGGTGTAGTTGATGTCGTTGAACCCTCACCAGATGGTTTCTTAGTCTAGAATTGTTTAAGCGCATGAAAGAAAAACATTAGTGCCAAAAAAATAGGATGCCACAATCAATCATCAAAATTCAGAAGAATCATCAGAAACATTGCAAATTAGAGGTGAGTGTAAACATATTATGAATAAAATTTTCCTAATTTTGCTCCAGAACATCATTCCAATAAAAATATCTTAATTTGATTGTAACTTCGATAGCATCACGTCAATATTAACTGTTTAATCTTAGTAATTAAGCACCAAATATACCCCAAGAAAAATTTAATTTATTTCTTCTTCTCCCTTTTTTTCCCCCTATAAGATACTAAGTAGAATCTAATTTTATTAGAACTTTGAACATTTAATTTTTATATGCTTGAACGAATTTAGTTCCATGAGTTCTTAAAATTGACCCCACAACAGTATGAAACCAAGAGTTTCACTAAGTACCAAGCATTTGCAGAAAAAACTCCTAATTGTTTTTCAGAAAATCACTAAAGCATTATCCGAGGACTCCTGTAATCACCTCACATTATTTAAGCTAACAAAAATCATTAATATTATGTTCATGGCTCTTTTTACTAGTAAGTCTAACCCTGCATGAAACTTTTGTTCATAGTATCAAAGTACAGTTACATGCATTAGAAGGATTTAAAAAAGTATTTTTAACATATTACTGTCATTTACCAAGATCAGACAAGCCCATAAACAATGAGTAAGTTTAATAATTTAATTACAACAAATAAAAAAATAAAAAAAAAGCTTTGTCAAAAAGGAATATAGTAGAAAGCACAACAAAATCAAAATAAAATTAAGTTTACAACATCTAATATCAAAACCTACCAAACTCACCTTAGTTACCATAATCACAACAAAACTATTTTCAGTTACTTTGTTCTCTTCCAGTGTAGTGTCATCTTTGAGGACTTTCCCCTGAAAAATAAGCATCTGCTGTGCCGCAGGATAAACATCAGATCCTTGAACTGTTTCTATCTTCTTTTTCACATCAACAACCTAAAAAGAAAGAGCACAAGTTCTGAATACAGTTATAAACCAAATATGACTATTAAAAAAAATATTAAGTATATGTGTTTGTGTGTGTATGCTAGCCCAATTTGAGATTAAATCATATTGTCAACCATTTTGCCAACCAAATAATAACGTATTTAACAAGTTTACACACAAGAAACAAATAAGAAATTATTCTTTGACAGTTACTTTGATAACACAAAATATTACAAAAATAAAAGTAAAGAAAGAGAGAAAGAAAATCATCCTTAAAACTCGATTAAGTACAATCTAACTATTTGCTGTATTCCTTTGCCTAAATAGTTGCAAGTTATTTCCAAGTTAGCAAATACTCATGAAATACAGTGTGGAATATTGTGATTTACCAATGTTTTACAACAAGAAAAAATCCGCACTATCCCTTTATTTTTAATCCAAGAACTTAAAAAGCATTTGATATCTTTACAGACACTAAACTTCATTCGTTAAGAAAGAGTTACTTCTATACACATATTACATAAGGTCAAAGGCGGAATGAAGGAGATAAAACACAGAATTCTTTACTGATATATTATATTTACTGACGGTCTATTAACATGGTGATAGAGCTCTACTCAAACATCGTTCACAGTTCCAAACTTTCCATATGCATTAATATGAAATGCTCATCAGATGTACATCACTAATGCTGATACACATGTACGCCATGCCACGCCACACTCAATTGCATAAATTAGTCAACGAAAACACATCACAACCAACACCAAAGTAGAGAGTGTTTTACCCTACATGAAAATCATACACCAATCATTTTGAAAATCAAACTACATGAATATCAGTTCAGCCATCGCGCTTAACTCTCATACCTAAATTCAAAACCTGCCACCATAAATCGAAAATGTTTTAACAATACCAATTATATAACACATTTATACGATTGAAGATGAGAAAAGTAAACCGAAATTCAACAATTATCAATCAATCACAGACACTAGATTAACCCTAATTTCAACTCAATTTTGAGACAATCGAACAGTGAAAAGCGAAAAGTGAAACCCTAGGAAAGAATAAACAATCGAGAACATAAAAATTGCAACAAATAAGACGATAAATAAAATTAAATAATAGTAAAAGAAAATCAAACCGTGTCTTCAGGTTTTACTTCGATGTCGAAATTAGTGCCTTTGAGTGTTTTAACGAAAATCTTCATCTTCTACGTCTCTGGATATTAGAATTCTCTCACGATCCGTGAGGACTTTCTAATGTTTATATAGTGAGAGAGAAAAACTAAAGCACAAGTTAAGAACTAAGGAATATCTTTCTGCCTCCGATCTTTTTATAGCGTAGAGCACAGCACAGCTCTGTCCTTTCCAGTTAGAAAAGGACGGGGTTTGATGGTGCCACGTGGTATTAATCCTAATCAGACGGTTAACATGATGTCATGTGCACGGTCCACACGGTCGACGTGGCGTGCTTTGTCATACATTTTTCTTGCTCACGACGAAATCGTGTTATGAAGTGTGTTTCTAAAGGGGGAAAGGTTTTTCTATTGTTTGATTGTTTTTGGGTTTACAATTAGAGTTAACGACTTTTTTTAATGGCATTTTTTTATTTGTATACTTTTAAAATATTATTTTATTATCTAAATTTATATTCTGACAACGAATAAAGAACAAATTCGATCCAGGTTATTAGGACTTTTTAAAAAGGGAGACCGATGAGTCTTTTGGTGGTGGAAAGTTAGATTTTGATGATTGAGACTGATCAAAATTTGACTTAGAAAAGGCGGCTACACAAACCCTAATCACTTGATTGTCGACGATTGATAGGGTCGGTAAGAATAAGGTTTGAGGGGTTTTGATGAGTAATGATAGAAGAAAAGAATGGTAGTGGTGTAGGGTTAATTTATATTCCAACTCTAGAATATAAATTTAAGTAGTAAAGTGATATTTTAAAAGCCTATGAGTGGAAAAGTATCATTAAATCATTATTTAGGTGAAAAAAAGTCGTTTACTCTTACAATTATCCAATTTTGGGTTGGATTTTTTTCTGTTACTGTTACTGTTACTGTTCCTTTTTCTTTTAAGTTTTAATTATTAAGGTCTTCTAAATGGGAAATTAGACAAAGTAAATACATTTGGGGTTGTCAATGCAAGATAACTACTCTTCATATGCGTTTTTAATATCTCAAAACTCACACAAATAGCCAAAAAGGCCTGTCCCATTCGAAGAAGGGATATTAATAAAAATTTCTTGGATGTTAATGATTTTACATCCTCAAATTACTTTTGGACCGGCCATTCACAGTCATCGAAAAAACTAATTAATTTTCAGGGAATTTCAATAATTAATATTTAAAAAATCAGTTTTTATTTGAAAAGCTTTAAAAATCTTATTATAAAAGATTATTTCTTAAACAACTTTAAATATAATAACTTTTTAAAAGCCTTTACTGAAAAATTTATGGATGCTAACTTATAATAAATTACAATAACTCGAAGTGTAACTTATTATAAGGTTGTCTGCACAGGAAATATCCTTAAATCGCGTAGGGCTTGGGCTAGTGGGCAATTCTTAGCCACTCACAAGCCAGGCTTTCACCTGCCACACTAACGATAGCCTTACCTCTTTCGTCCTTGTGCGACATGGCAGCGTTTGGACAGCACAAAGCCTTCCTAAACTCTGATTGACCCTTGCTGGCGTGAGCTTATGTCAACCCTAATTTTTTAGGCATAACAGAAGGCCCCCAATTTTTAAGGTTTAAGGATTGAACCTTGAGAACTTCATGATTATGTCGTGACTTGACTTATCCCGAGTGACGCCTGATTGAGTTGTAAGGAGACAAGTAGTTAAGATAATGTGAAACTAGTGGTTCAACCCGACCATCGAGCTGTAAGGAAGTCGCAACATAGGTCTCTAAAAATAGCACAAGCGACTTGAGGGGGCCTTTTCCCACAGGTTCAGTGACCTGGGTCGGACCCTACTCAGTGCTATACCAACATGCTTTGAATTTCATCCGTTGCTCGCGACCTGAAAATACTTAGCACACTTTTATCGAAAATAAGGGATCAAATCGTCTCGAAATCGATACATGACAAAGAGTGAGTGTTTTACTCGAACGACATCTTCAGATGTTATCCGTTGAGCTTGACAGTTGGTCTGGTTAATAAAATAAACTTTATTCTGACAGACGTGTCTCTTGCGCAATAAGTGACAGCCATGCGCATTAAATGTAAGCCATGTTGAAACGACATTCCCTTTCAGAGCATTGAATGTGGATAAGGGCACATTTAATGTGGAGGAGGTAACCGCGCCGACGCTTGGTTACTCCAATGGAGGGAAACGACGATTGGCATCCACGAAGCGTGACGGTTACTCTTCACGTGGATTAACGAAACCTTCACGTGGATTAACGACACATGATTGTAATCAATGACAAGAAACGTATCACGCCCAAGCGTAGCTTGCTAGGGAAACCAATTGTCATCTTTTCCCTTATAAAACCTCGAGTTCGCCTCAAGTTTTATCACAAAACTCATATTTTTAAAGAGAGAAAACAAAACTCTGGCACTTGCGAAATCACTCCGTTCTTCTTCCAGTAGATGCGCACTCTTCGTTATGATAGGAATTTCGTCCCCAGCAGTCAAGAGGTAAGGAAGACTTTTCCTTTGTTTTCCGTAATTATTTTTGTTAAAAGCTTGACTTTACGGTAATGGCGGGTATGAACTGCCTGGTAAGCTTACATGATGCATGTTTTTGGACAGTGGTAAAAAGAGAACTTTTTTCTTTATAAAAAGTGAGAACTTGGGGCATGGATTATGGGGAATTCATTCCCAAGGGTTTTTAGGGTTTTTCTAGGGTTTAAGGAAGGTAAATTAGGGTTTCTTTTGCTCTTCCACGTCATCGTACGGAACAGTGTACGGAGACTGAGTCATCTCTGCATGTCGCCCCTTTTTCAGACTTTAGGAGCAATGGACACTTCAGCGACCAGAGCAGCCGAGGGGATGAGCTCGCAAGTGTCGGGCACCTCAGCAAGTCCCGTGCAAGAGACATTATCAATGGTCACCCGGGACGAGACACAGAGAGCGATATACCAATTCGCACTTAGCGTAGATGTCTACCAGCATAGGACATACACAGCTCGAAACCCCCAGAGGGAATGGTTGCGATCTCCGAGGCGATCTTCAAGTGTAGGGCGTTGATATCTTTTAACCCCTTCATCAGATTGATCCTCGACCACTTCGAGGTCGCGCCATTATAATTGACACCTAATGCGTATATGATAGCAGTTGTTATGTATATCACATGTGGCAAAAATAATCTTAGCTAGCTGACAGTGTTGGAGCTCGCATGCGCTTACTATTTGAAGAAAAGCAAAGATAAAGACTTGATTACCTCTTGAAGCGATCTTCAATCGAGGGAGGAATATTTGGCTACTCTAGTAATGTCAGGGCTTATGAGACCAAATTTTTCTTTTTTGAATACGATGGTGTTTGCCAATTTAAGGAGCCGAGTAGGTTTTCCTTTCCTTCAATTTGCGAACTGTCACTTTTTCTTTTAGCTCCTCTTCTATAGGTGAAATTAACGAACTTTTTGTCTCTTTGCAGAAAATAAGATGACCAAGTTGACGGCTCTAACAGACTTTAACCAAATTGTGACATTCGGTCGTCTACCTGAGTAGAGTCACGACGCGAGACTACTCGCGACTACTGTCAACTTACGAAAGTATGATTTTTTCAATCCAGAGGCATCTTTGTGACCCCTAGACCGTAAGTATCTTCACACTTAGGAACCCCCCCCCCCCCCCTCCCCTTTTTTTGCAGAGGTGACATTTTCACTAACATATTTTCATGGCACGCAGCCAGTCGAGGGGTAACCCCTGACAATATCCTTGTAGAAGGGATACAGATTGGTGTCGAAAGGCAAACACCCACAAAGCAACGTGGAAAAGCTTCTGGGCCCGCGGCTACTCAAGCCGCAAAGCAAAAAACCATGGGCCAGAAGACCAAGAAAAGGAAGCAGCTGCTTACTAAGGAGGAATCTGAGTCCGAGCCGGAGGGCTTCGGGATGCTGTTGGAAGAGTCACAGCCTTACCAGGCTTTCCGTTTAGGGGTGCCCCCGAGGAGTGTCCTTGGCACTTCGGCGGTCCCTAAGAGTTCTCATAGAGGAAGGGGGAGGTCGCGATTGCCCAAAGGAGAGCAGACAAGCAACGGGTCGATGAGGTGCCTGTTCCTCGGGGACCTGTCCCGCCTGTGCTGGATTCCATGGGACAGCTGTTAAAGCACCTGCAGCCGATGGTATATACCTTGCTGGAATGTCAACTGGTTGCGACCCTCGAGGAGTTCGTGACTTCTCGGCCCGCGGACTTGGTGGCTACCGCACTTCATTTGCAAAGCCGAGTAAAACAGTTTGTTCTTGTTGTGAACTTTTTAGTATCAGTTGATTTTCTAACTTTTACGATTTTTGCTTCTTTTCTCATGCAGTCCCTACTCGCCTTACACATGGCCCAACAGAAGATCGATATGGACTCTGCTGGAGGATTCCACGAGCCGAGGGAAGACCAAGCTGAAACAGGACTTCGCAGCTCTAGAAGCAGAGGCGAAAATGGTCCACATTCAGGCGAATCAGTACTTGGTAGGGAGAAATTATGCACTTCGCACAGTGGACTTCCAGAAGGCCGAGCTTGAGAAAATAAGCGAGGAGAATAAGGAGCTCCAAAGGACAGTGGCCAGACTCACCAAAGAGTGTGGTGAGAAACAGAAGGAGCTGAAGGCGAACTCTAAGCGTGCCAAGAAGGCGGAGGAAGACAAAGCTCGACTGTAGGAAAACTCTGAGAAGCAGAAGAGGGCTTTAGAGGTGGATCTCGAGCTGTTCCAAGGGCATTAACTGAGTAGATGAAGCGACAAAACCTTGAACTCGAAAGGAAAGCTATGGATTGGGAAATACAGGCCATCTACCGAGGAATCCGGGGATGGACCTCTCCAACCTCCCGAATGAATACCAGGACATCCTTGCTTACATGGCCCAAACTGATGATGCCAAGGAGGAAGAGGGACAAGAGCCTCCTCCAGAGGGTGACCAACCAAAGGCATACGTCCCTGAGGACCCAGTAGCTGATCGGGCGGTCGACGACCAACCGACGAATATAGAGGTCGCGTCCAAAGAGCCTGAAGGCGGGGACCAATGACCACTTCTTTTGTTTTTCACAGCTTTCTTTTTTACTTT